AAACTGGTACAATCTTAGAAGGGTTCTACCCCTTCGGGGTTAGAACCCTAATAATAATAATAATAATAATAATAATAATAATAATAATAAACCGGTACAATCTTAGAAGGGTTCTACCCCTTCGGGGTTAGAACTCTAATAATAATAATAATAATAATAATAATAAACCGGTACAATCTTAGAAAAGTAACTAAACTAAAAAAGTAACACAAGACAAAAAGTTAATACATACATTGAACAGTACGAGGGAGATGAAAACCTACATATAATACACTTGATTTGTTTGTATTAGATATCGTTTTACTTATTACTTGAGAGGTTATAATATCTTTCTTATTTGTTAATATCTTAGAAACAGGTTAAAGAGATTGTAGTTAAACACAAAACAGACAGATATTTGGTGTAATCTGAAGCAGTCTAGCCTCATGGATGTGGTACTTGCTAACAAGACATAAAAGCTTGAGAGCATTGTCAGTAGATTGTTAGCCTGTATTACAATTCAGAAACAAGACCTAGAGCTAGAGCAAGTACCATCTGCCTGTCGGCCATTTCCAGGCATATTTTAGGATGAATCAGGAGCAGTTTGACAACCTGCTGTCTATTGCCGGGCCTTGCATGACAAAAATAATTTCTAACTAACGGGAGTCCACTGGTCCTGCCGAGTGACTGTGCACCACCAGTTTCTCCTTCATTGTTCATCAGCTGTAAACTTGCTGTCATGACCACCACAGAAGACCTGCCTCTTAAATCATCTGACGTCATGGGGTCCTTCTCCGCTCTGAGTTGAAGTTTTTTCAACTCGAGGAATTCAGAGTGCTCCAGCAAAAACACTAGGCGCTTAGAGTGCAGAAACATAAGGTGCATCTAGCTATGTTGGAACTGTGCTGAGTCAAGTCTGAATCACTGTCTCGTTGTTTCATGACATCTATTTATTTTGTGTCTGGTGTCTTTTATCTCTCTATCTGATCTTTTATTATCTCTGCAGACTCTGTCAGGCTGGTGCATGGGACTAGTCTGTGCTCAGGCAGACTGGAGGTGAGGTTTAACCAGTGGTGGTCCTCAGTGTGTGAAGCTGTCTTTGACCAGCAGGATGCAGAGGTGGTCTGTAGGGAGCTTGGCTGTGGACCTCCTTCAGTCTTCCAGGGGGCCCTCTATGGAGAAGTGGAGGCTCCGATGTGGATCAAAGAGTTCCAGTGTGAAGGTCATGAGTCTGCTCTCCTGGACTGTAGAAGGCCAGGCTCAGATAGAAACACCTGCTCAACTGGCAAAGCTGTTGGACTCACCTGCTCAGGTAGAAGAGGAGCTGCAGCTTTGGTTTGGCTCATTTCTGTTCTAATGAAACTCACTTTATTCTTGATGACTTCTTGTTTCTGTTTAGAGCCTGATGCTGTCAGGTTGTTAGGAAGAGACAGTCGCTGTGCAGGAACACTGGAGGTGAAACGTCAGGGAGACTGGAGACCAGTGGGTGCCGGTTTCCGCAGCCGTGTTTTCACCCCGAAGACAGTAGCTGTTGCCTGTGAAGAGATGGACTGTGGCTCTGCTGTTTCTGTAGAAAAGAGAGAGTCCTCAGTAAGATCTGTGTGGAGTATCATCTCTGACTGTGTTCTCTCTGGATCTACTCTGAGGGAGTGTGCAACATTAGATCAAAGTTCCTCAATCATTTATCTCACCTGCTCAGGTAAGCCCATTACTGTCATCATCATGGACATCATCTATGACAGTAATGTTTCCAGTGTGTTCCTTCCTCTGTCACAGTGACAGTCAGTGGTCTCCATTGGACTGATCTGTAAATTTATCCAGGAAAATGACATCCTGAAGTGTAGAGAAGTCTGGAAGCTTTCGTCCGGAAGATTCAAATTCCTCATAGACAGCTGAGCATCACCTGACAGGACACACCTGGGGAACCTTTTTTCTGTCTGTCTGTCTGTCTGTCTGTCTGTCTGCATGTGTCAGACAGGCTGCTTCAGCCAATCATCTGACAGTCCTGGGGGACGTTCAACCCCGACAGCACAAATTATGAGTGTCAAATGCATGATGGTTGTAGAAGTGATAGGTGTTGAAAATATGAAGAAATTGTGCAGGCATCCTCGTAAGTTAAATTCTCCTTTAATCTATTTTAAAATACTTATTCATCTTAATTTATTACCTACCCTAACCCTTTATGTAAGGAGCAACCGCAGACACATTTGGCTGAAAGTCACCAGTTAACATGGTCACTGTCTCTCACTGTCACCGGGCAGCAGCAGGCACTGAGTCCCTACAACTTGCCCCCGCAGTAATGGCAGTGCCTAACTCACATAGCGGTTGCCAGATTTGTCTGTACTTAACATACAGCAGAGCAGCCAGCAGGTGACTGCTGCTATCATTTTTTTCTTTGTGGCATCATTATCTCTTCAACGATTAATGACAAAATAAATCTTGATCGCTCTGACAGATCCATGCTTTGTTTATGGTGATGCCTCTGCCTGCCGTCAGATGTTTTCCCCTTTGTTTTAGAGATAAGCTCCGCCCTCTCTGCTTGTCATTGCTTCTTGCCAGACTGTGCCACAGCTGTAAGAATAGGAGTGCACCCAGTGTTTAGACCTGCTGCTTCAGCCAATCATGTCTCTACGTTTACATACCTGCTGCTTCAGCCAATCATGTCTCTGTGTTTACAGACCTGCTGCTTCAGCCCAACATCTCTGTGTCCTCCTCCATGGATGGGGTCTCCAAGGCCCAGCAGCAGGGGGTCGAAGTGTCTAGGGGCTCCACCTTCACCATCACCTGCTCCATCCAGCCACAGTACCCAGGAGGCTCCTTCCAGCTCACCTTCACCTCCTCCAACTCATCACACAACTACACTCAGCCAGCTGTCAATCACTCTGCCCACTTTCTGTTTCCTGCAGCAGAGCCCGCCCACCAAGGAAGTTACAGCTGTGTTTATCACGTCTATGTTGTTGCTCATAACTTCTCCTCTAAGAGCGGTCTGCTCTCTCTCACTGTCTCAGGTAAGCTGACTGTTGGACTGTCTCTGGATTACACTGTGACTACTGTCCTTGTGTTTCACTTCTTATATAGAAACCAAAGTGTATAAATGGCAACAGAAAATAATATACTGTGGGAAAGAGCATGTGTGGTTATCAGGATAACTCTGGTTCTCTGAGAATTGAGTGACAGGGTTCCCACAGATCCTTAAAAAGTCTTAAAAGGCTCATTCATCCCAAAATAAGGCCTTAATTAGCATTAAAAAGTCTTAAATCAGCTTTTAAAGAGTCTTCAGAATGCTAAGACACAGAAAGTAGAGCTCAGCTTTATGAATGTTTTTTTGTTTTTTTATGTTGCATTTTGGGCTGAAACTGAAAATTCTGGATGCAAATTAACCTACATTAAAGCTTTGTTGGATCATTATTACTGTGGCACAACACACTTAGGCCATAGAGACCTGACGTAAAGAAAACGCCTCAAGATCATACATCCATGTTTAAATTAGAAGATGTGATTTGATTGCCTGGATTGCAAAATAATAGAAAAGAGAGAAAATAGCGAGAGAGGAGACAGGCCAAACAGTAACTCTGAACTCAGAGTGTTTAATCGTAAAACCAAACTAGCTAACCACAGTAGCCAAGCAGAATGGATGCTTAGATAGAGTGCATAGATAAGTTTGACTTTCAGTTGGGTTCCCGTCAGCAAGGGCTGTCTGTTAATGAAGCACTGAGCGTACGACTGTATAAATGAGACTGGGATTATACTGCACGAATTGTGACAGTTTGTAAACTGATGTTTTTATGTAGTTTTGATGTCACTGAATATGCACCATTATGACTTTAATTCATCAAGAATTTTCTGTATACTGAGAAAAACAAGGCTTATTTCTAACAAATTCAGTAATTACTCAGTATTGGAATAATTGATCTACAAATGGCCATTTGGGCAGTGAAGTATTACTTTAAGAGATGTGGGACTAAACCAAACAGCTCCATGTTGAAGTGATTTTGGGTGATTTGATGTCAATACAGTTTGTCTTTAATGGGAACTGTTGGACTCATGATCATGTGATGTGATGTGATGTGATGTGATGACTCTCCGTGTTTGATCAGATCCAACACTTTTTATCATCCGAGTGGTCGTCCTGCCGCTGTCTCTGCTGTTGGTGAACACTGCCCTTTACTTCTACTGTAAGGTACTGACACTTTTCTGTTGTTTAGGCCACTGACTCAAATGAAGTACTCAGTCTGTGTTTATTGAACTGAAGAGATGAGTGATGCAGGAAGTCACATCTGTGTACTGTCATGTCTCTCCAGGCCAGCAGGGGGCAGAGTGCGGGCAGACAGGAGAATATTGAGCTGTATTATTGTAACCTGGATGTTCGAAGGAGGGCCAACTGAAGAGGAAGGAGCTCAGGGAGCAGAGTAACATCTCCAAGGAGCTCATCTCACATTTCTGACACACAACCCACCATCAGCTCGTTTTGATACACATGTTCCCTTTAAACAATAAGACCGGAATTATTATATTTTTTATTATATTTTTCAATCTGTCAATATGAAAAGACCAAACCAACAAGGTGTTAGTCTCTTCATACTTTCTGACTTCCTGTCTGTGGCTCTTAGCTGCACCTCACAGATCTAACGTTTAATTTGAAAACTAGACTTGAAGGCAGGTATATTGGAGTCCAAGCAGCCAACGCAATTTGAAACCAAAGCCACACTGACCCAGGAAACAATGTTCACCAAATAATGTTAGATATTGAATTTCATTGTCATGTATTGTCCAAATTCTGTAACACAATACTTGACGTGAAAATCAATTTTGGTGATAAATTTAACACTTGCTTGCTCGCCAAAGTGGGTGTCCCATGTACAAAGGCTGTGTCCTTATCGCAGCCACCGGGTTCAATTCCAACCCGCTGCCTTTTGCTGCATGTCATCCCTCTCTCTTCCCCTTTCACTCTTAAGTTGTCCTATCAAATAAAGGCAAAAAAAAGTTAACAACTGAATTGTGAGATGACAGGAAAAACATGTTACAGAGCTGTGTATTCTTAATCCGCTCCCGGGTTCCCAGAACCTGCAGTTTATTTAGTATTTTGACCACCTGCTCCCACACGCAGCAAAGTTAAAACTGCCTGCTCCTTCAAGATTTGTGTTGATTCCTGCAGGATCCCACTCCCAATACAGCCCTTTATTACAGAGCCACCTGCTGTTAGATCTGTGATCTGGAGCACATCCAGTCTGTGATAGCCTGACATCACCAGACCAAATCACAAATGCAAATCAGTCCAGAACCTCTCAGTTCTCTCAGTTGTCTATTTCCGAGCCGTGTTATCGGCGGCCGTGGCCCAAAATGCCTCTGGATGCAACTGGATACACATATAACCAATCACAGAAACAGTGTGTGATGTAAGTTAACGCTTTAAAACAGATGACAGCATGCAGAGATGAGCTGTGATGGTGTGGCATCAATATGTCTGTGAACGAGTATTGCAGTTAATCATGCTTTTGTGAAATCCTGTTGGAAGTACAGCAATCAACAAAATGTTTAAATGCAGTTGATTGTTCTTTAAGTGAAAATGTACCGTCTAATTCGTTCAATACTGATGTGACAGCGGCTTCAACAGAAAGGTCCACAACAGCTGTAACCCTTTTTGTTGTTTTCAGAAAGGTCTAACCGGTGCTTCTCTTTATCGTCTCCATCTCAAACATGTCCCATATTAGATAAACGTCTGTGATTGGCTGTCAGATCTGAGGTTGCTAGAAATCTGTCGAAGCACCTGAGGCATCTGCCAGAGCAAATACAATATGAGCTTTTACATTAATGTGGTTCCCAGGTAATGTTGGTGAACCACATCTGGTCCAGTGATGAGTATCTCTTGGTGTTCGTGATGAAAATACAATTTTGCATAATTTTGGACTTAAAGCTGGGGTAAGGTGTTGTATTTTGATGTCTCTGGGCAAATATCCCATAATTAACTTGAAGTATATTGTAATTCAAGTGGTCTGCGAGAAAACTAGACCTCTGCACCTCCTCTTGGCTCAGTTTTCAGGCTTTGGAACAGTTAGCCCGTGACTGGAGGATCTGGCCAATCACAGGTCATTTCAGAGAGATGGCGTTCCTATTGGCTGTTCAACAAATGCAGATGCGCATGCATGTGTCTTTGGTGAAAGCCTGTTTCAATGGCAGAGAATCCTGCAGAGAAAGTTGCTATTCCAGCATTGGCAATAACTACCTGCACTGCAAAGCAGCCCAAAAAAGGAAAATGGAAGCCTGTAGCTCCATTCCTCTAATGGAGCTACAGGCTCACAGCTGCAGCTTCAAGTTTCATTTTTGGTCTGAGAAACAGAATAAGAGAGAGTGGGACAAGGAGGGTCAGAGTGAATGTGCTGCGCGTTACAATGAATTTAGATGAAATAAATCCCTGTAAAGGGAAACACTGGGTTACTGTATGAAGTGTAGAAGCGAAAATCAGTGCCTTGAAGTGGGCCAGATGGCACCCGACCTCGTCTCCTACTTCTCCTGCAGATCGTCCTCTGATGTGGATTTAGTACCTTAGGTTCAGTTGGCAAACACTTAGAGAATCACTGGAGTCAAATAGAATCTGGTGCAATCGAGTTTAATGTGTTCACAAGCAGCAACACATACAACTCATTGAGTTAGGCTCCGGAGCACGACTGAAGTTTCACTCTCTGCGCTCTTCCTTTTATGCTGGTGAAGATTCGAGAGAATCTCCACCCTTTTCCTTTAATCCTTCCCACCTAGACCCAAACCTATTGGTGGCAGATCTTTTTCTTTTTAGCCTTTTTCCATCTGGTCCAAATCTATTGGTAGCAGGCCCCTTGGGCCCTTGCCCAAACATGACCTAGGCCTGGAAATCCCCAAATTCTCCCACCATTAGGTTCGGGGCTGGTTTCACTTTATTTTTTTAAAAATGTATGAAACCTGGGGACTTTCTCTATACAGTCCCCTGTGCTTTCATGCAATGTGAGCTTTTGAGTGTGTGTCATACAATACAAACATTAAAGAGTGTGTGTGTGTTATTATTAAACAATACATGGTTTTTAAACAATACATGGTGTGGTATTTGTGTGCTCTTCAATGTGAATACATAACCCTGTGTTATGAATACATGAACTTGTATAACATTGTTTTATCATACATAGATGCATAACAAACAGTCCTATGGGAACTTATAGCATAAAAAATGGTTACATGTACTTCACTCTTAATCAACTTATGCAGTTTAACACCTTTACCTGATTAAAGATTAAATCTTACACTACAGAAGCTTGCATATGCCTGTGGTCATCTAGTGGGAGGGGCTTAGGACAGAGGGGGGAGAGCTGCAGGAGGAGGGTGTGTTTTAAAAATCTGCCATTGTTTTTGTTTTCACTTTTACCTTTTCCAGAGGCCTGTACTACGAAGCAGGATTTAGAGTTAGCGAGCTAACTTCAGAGTTAACTCTGGGTTTTCAGTACTATGAAGCTGGTCCTTTCTTTTTTTACCGGGATAAATCACTGTAGTAACTTATGCTGAACAGCTGCTCTGGAACAGGTTAACTTCAAAGTATTGGATCACAGCCTGTCAACACCCCGACCTCTGATCAGATCATTGAAGAAAAAAGTATCCATTACTGAATGTCCGGAGTGACAGGTTAAAAAGAGTAGCCTGTATATTGTTATAGGTCAGTAGAATGATTTCATTCTTCCAGGGCTGTATTTCCACTGGTTTTAAAACAGAGCTTTTAACAAATACAGAGATTGTTCACAACACTTAACACATGATATCAGCAGGATTTTAACCTGTGCAAAGTTTATTTCAGTCCACAGGGATAGTGTTGCTATCTGACACTCTGATTCCATCACTGCAGCTCAAAATAACACAAGACACCTATGTGATGAGAACTACTATAAAACAGATGATATTTTATTAATAAAATAATCCACACACTGTTAATTGGCTCCTGTTATTATGTATGTAACATTTCGGTCAGATAGACCTCATTAGTCATTAACTACTTTTCCACTCTTTACTTCAGCAGCAGAAACAGTCTGATATTAGTTTAAAGTGTTTTGACATATTCAGAGCAGTTTCATCATAATCCAACTAAACAGCAAAAAAATCCTCTAAACTAATGTCACATAGGCCCATAGCTTTGTGATACCTGCACATAATTTAAGTCTCGGATAACGGTGAATTTTTAGATAGTGTTTTCAATGTTTCTAGAGTTTCCGTTTTAAGATTACAGCTTGTCGTCCACATCCCACACCACTGACATTTCATTGTCTTGTTAACAAATCACTTCACTACCGTTTCATCACATACCATATGAGGTAGCCTACTTCATTCATGGTTCAGATGATGTCGCTTGTAATTAACAACCCGCCCCTTTTACATGAAACTCATGGCTGGATAGGATAACCCAAAGTTGACTGAACTGGTTGATAACTAGCTTTGTTGTACCGGTTATCCAGACAGCCAATGTTAGGGTTAGTACAAGAAGATATCCTGTATAAGTTGAACTGGCTTCATAGTACAGGCCTCAGGTTTCCGCTTACCCAGCTATAAGAAATATATTTTACATTGTAAAGCAGGATTTAGATTTAATGACGAGATTCTTTGTGTAATTTTGTAATCAAGTATTTCACCTACTTTTTTAAATTGACGTATTTTGCTTGTTTCATAAAAATTTTGCTTAATTTTGTACTTCAAGGAATTTACTTAATTTTGCTTTCAGTGTTTTTGCTTATTTCATAACAATTTTGCTTATTTTTCTAAGTGAAGTATTTTGATGAATTTATAAGAATTTTGCTTGTGTGTGTAATTGTTGTGAGATTTTCCTTTTTTTGGTGGAAATTTAAGGATTTAGCTCATTTCATGAGAATTTTGTACTAAAGCAAAATATAAATAATAAATAAGCAAACTCCATTGCAAAATTAATGTAAATTTAATTAAGTAAATTCCTTTATAAATTTTCTTAATTTACTGTTGAATTACTTTAATGATAAAGCAATTTATTTAATTTTTAATGTAATTTTGCTTATTTCATATGAATTTTACTTCATTTTTTACTGTAGGAATTTAATATGAAATACCCTCATAACTCATCAAATAATATGAATACAAATATGAACCCATATGTGTCAGAACATGAATAAAAATGAGAGGTTTATTCTATGTGGAGAAGATGTCACTTGAGGGCATGTTTCATGACCAATTAAAGACAATATAACAAATTTTATGACAGAATAAAAAACAAAACACACTCGCACAGAAACATTTAGTACTAGTACTAATACAACTTTAACAAAGTGTTTCGCCTAGTCCTGCTGTGCTGTGATTAGTTGATTAGTGATTAGTTAGTGATTAGTGCTGTGTTCACATATGTGCCAAATATTCAGTTTTTGTGTTTTTGTTTAATACACACAGAGATAAAATGATGAAGGTCACTGGAATAAATGTATCACTATCACCAACCATGTCAAAGAAAATAAAACCACTTGAATAAACTGAAACTCTGAATGATCTGATAATAAGTGGTTCACAAGAATTTGTTTTTTCTCTTAGTTGTGAAAATGTTGTGTTGGACGACTAAACCACAGCTGATACATGACAACATGGCATCAGCAGAGGGTAAATATTTCTTTAAATTTATTAACAATTCTCCATCAAAATCAGCAGGGTGGGGTTGTTGTGGCTGTTTGTGGCTTGCAGCTCTCTATTTTTTTTCTCTCAATAAAGGCTTTATTGGCACGAAAGTTTCAAAAACAATTTTGACGAAGCCTCAAAGTACAGCAACCAAACATTTGGACAATACACACAAACAGTATTTTACATCAGAACTGTCTAAATGTATGTGTGTGCTCGCACTCTTAAAATAACTAATGTGGTTCTGATCTCCTCCTCCTCTCATGTCTTTTCTTAGGAACAGGTCAGAATATGACAGATTCATTTAGCACAAACTCCAGTGATACTTTAAGATCAAAGACAAAGCTTTTGTAAAAAGTTACTTGGAGTCAGAAGTAGTCCAACATGCAGGAATCAATGGTCACAGAACAGAGAAACTATAAAAACCTGTAAATGCACTGACTTACCCATGAAAACTGGAAGCTCATGAAAAACAACGGACAACATGCACATCTTTGTGTTTTGTTTACATTACGGTGTGATATTTCCCTCGATATTCATCAGGTCAGAGGACACACAGGCTACAGTGAGTCAATCATCTCTCAGCAACTATATCTGCACCAGCCTCCTCCGAATATACACAATAACAGGAAACTAGTCCATACCCATCAGTAGCTTTGTCACCTTCTACCTATGCCAATCCTCAATGCCTATGTGCAGTTTCACATAGATTGACCACGTCAGTGAGTAGAAAAACGTGGGACTGACAGAATGACACACTGACAGTTTCCGTGATTATGTACAGCATACCATACCATGACTTAGTCATACTAAATATTGAAGAAAAAAACAAACAAACATGCAGCCACAGGGGGAGCCACAGCGATTGGTTGCATTTTAGCCATTTTTAAGCATTTTTCTGTTGTTATAGCGCCACCCAGTTGCCAATTAGAGTTAAATTTCTCCAGTCACCTTGAGGCGTCCTGTTCTACATATCTATCAAGTTAAGTAAAAATCCATATGGTGGTTAGGCCTAGATAAGAAATTAGCTCTCTAGCGCCCCCATTTTGTTTGATGGGGTCAATAATGGAGGGGTCCCCTCAGATTATGGGCCCTATTTAGATGGTCTAAAGCGGAAGGCGGATGGTGTGCGGCGCATGGGCGTGTCCCAGTCACTTGCTAGTTAGACAGCGCATTTTCAGACTGTGCGCCATGGCGGAGAGTCTAAAAGGGTTGGACTTACTCTGTGAATCAGTCATGGGTGTGTTTTGGGCGTATCATTCAATAAGCCAATCAGAGTGTCACCTCTCATTCCCTTTAAGAGAGGCGCAATTGGAGCGCATGGCGGAGAGCTATAGATGGCGGACCTACCAACTGGAAAGAGCGAGCGTTTTACAGCTGAGGAGACGATAAATGTATCTCTATACTGACTGTCCCATCACATCTGATGTCAGATCAAAGGGGATTGGCACCGTTTGGCACGTTCGGCACGCGTAATGGAAACCCAACCTGATTTGATTAACACAGCTGCAAACTAATGAGTTCACATCCCTCTCAGCCAACCACAAACAGCCACAGCATCAGATAGGGAGTATATATCCAGCATCTGTCATCTTAGAAAAGTCAAAAGAAAACAAACAGAGTGAGACTGCGAGAGAGAAAGAGAGCGCGCACGCGCGCGCACGAGAGAAACGCTGTCAACAAATTGTAAGTTATTCAATTTTATTTTAACCCGGGAGGTTAGAGAGCCCAGCTCCCTCTCCAGCATCCTGAACCCCCCCGCCTGAAGGTGCAGGAAGGGCTGGTCCTGTGGCTGCACCCGGGCCGTCTGGTCTGGCTGCGCGCTGGCTGCGGAGCTGGGGTCATCCTCCTCCTCCTCCTCCTCCTGACAAGATGATCTTCAGTTTTATGTTCTAAAAGCTTTTTTTTTTAAATATACATTTGTACGTGGCTCTAAGTTTACATTTTTAGTTTTCACAGAAGCTGGTTATTATTGTGTTTATGTCAAATTAAAGTTTATCAAACGTTTTCACATCTTTGATTTTGTGATTTACATGCCAAAATGATCACAATTCAATTGGGAAAGACAAGTTCATTTTACAGGCTATGCATCATCAGCCTGTGGAGGTCTGCTCACAGTTCCGTATATTCGTACCACTGCCAGCTTGGACCTCCCAGATTATGATAATCAATATTACTGCGATTAGATCATTCTGATTAATGACTGACCATTAAGATGTCTTTCTGACAAATATTTTAATGTGCACAATAATAACCTTTCACATTGTAATCATATTTTTATTTGTTATCTTTTGCGTATGTGTGGCTGCTCCCTGTGTGTCTGAGCAGAGTGCACGCGCGTTGTGCACCCGCCTAGAGACGCATATTACTAACTTGTTTAACAGCGAAATACTGCGCCGTTGACTTTAGACCAGGTTTTTGTTGGTCACTGGCGCATTTGCTTTTCCCGTCATCTAACTAGCAATGCGCCATGACTGCGCCTGACCACTCCTCATTTTTAGACGAACATGCCCAGAGAAGCTCATTGCTAGTTAGAAGTTCATTGCTAGTTAGACGACGAGGGCGCAGGGCGTGAAAATGACAACTGCGCCTGCATCTAAATAGCAATGACACTTGCGCCATGGATTATGCGCCGTCCGCCATCCGCTTTAGACCATCTAAATAGGGCCCTATGTGTGGTCATATGCCTACAAAGTTGCGTGGTGATCTGTGAAACCCTTGAGATTTTATACACTTTGATGTGATGAGCCACACTCCGCAATATTCATTGCTTAAAGAAGCTCAGATTTAGTAAGTTTTCCAACTTTTGCCAAGAGGGAACTTTAGATATTGGTCCCTAGATTATGTTCACTGAGTCATCATGCAGATCGGTCAAACTTCCTAGGAAGAGATCGATTTTAAGTGTTTTTCAAAAAATTAAAAATCTATAAACCGGAAGTTATGGGTTCTTGAGGCAAATGTGTTCCTCATGAGGAGAGGCATTTCTGTGCAAAGTTTCATGTTTCTACGACATACTGGACATGAGATATGCCCATTCGAAGTTTGCAATTTCAATCACTTGCTATAGCGCCCCCTTTAGCCAGTTGATGTAATATTGCTTCATTCACATCCTCCCATGACCCTCTACCACTGTGCCAAATTTCACATGGATTGACCAAGTCAGTGAGGAGAAAAACGTGGAACACAGACCCACAGACAGCGTTTTCTTTATTATATAGTAAGATACATCTATTGAAAATTCTTTTCCATTTATTGTTTTTTCCATAGTTGTCTTGATAGAATTCCTCAGTATTTGTATTCATACCATCAACTCAAGAAAAACAATTAAAGAGTGATTCATATTAAAGGTGGAGTTTTATTGCATATTCAGGTATTAAACATAAAACAAACAGATGCACTATACAATGTTAAAAACAATTCCAGAAAGACAAATCTCTCATTTTAAACTGGGAACATCAAAACTTAAAATAATTAAAGACTAACTGATTTATGGAGAAAACATACCATCAAATGCAAAAAAACTGACTCCAAATCTGTGCCTCGACTTAATATTAAGGTTTAAAAACTGAAATCTGTTTCGTTTCAGGTTGTGTAACTCAGACAGGTTAACGTCTCATGTAGTTCAGATAAATGAGTCTGAAGAGGATTCTCCTTCAGTCAGCTTTCAGGGCGTAGAGCATGTCGTCCTGGCTCACATTGAGGCGGACTCTCTGCAGGACTCCCAAACGGCTGGACTCCAGCAGCAGTAACCTGCAGGCTCCCAGACGCTGACACACCGCCAGACCCTCCGACACGGTGACTGGCTGCAGACCCTCCACCCGACACAGAGCCTGGTGCTGCACAAACACCTGGATCACAGAAAAACAGAGGTGAGGACTTTTATTGAGGTTCTGTGCTTCAGGATCTGGACCACATCGATCCAGACTGAAATGGGTGTGACTTGAAATTTATTTTGACAGGTCAACCTCACCGTGACATCATGATGCTCTGCAAAAACACTTTTCTGGCCATTACTTAGCATCATATCTCAGCAACAGAAGAGGGGACTGTTTTTATTTACCTGTTGGAAGGTGGCCTCCTCCAATCCAAGTCGGCGAAACTCAGCAATGATTGCCCTGAGGAAGAGCTGCTCCTGCAGTGATGCACACCTGAAGACACATGCCAGTTACTTTATCTTGTCACTCCTTTTCAATGCCATCATTAATGTGATAAAAGAGAAAGTCTCACTTGATGGCAGTGATGTAGGCGGAGGAAAACATTTCATTCAGCGCCTCCATCACGTGACTCATTCCCACCAATCTTGAGGCAGAAGGGTCAGCAGCAGAGTGCTCACAGATCTCTGTCGCCCTGCGACAGATGTCCAAACATCGGCGAGCATCGCCTGACAGAGCGGCTACCTGTGAGAGGGGAGGAAGACCTTGTGAGGAACTATTCAGATCCTTCACTTCAGTACAAGTTCTAACACTGTTGCATGTCTTGCATTGAAAGTGTTACTTAAAGGTAGGATGTGGAGGATTTTCAAACAAAACAAAACATAGACATATACAAATGAAATCCTGCTTAATCATCACCTATGGGCTTCTACTCATGTGTGGTGGTGACTCTGTTTGCAGAGCTCCTGCCCTTTGATGTTTTTGTGAGCTCTGACCGCTTCTGGGCGGAGATTTCCCCAGCCAATGAGAGAGCGCAGGTGCCATGCCCGAGCGTGCCCGAGCGTACACCAGCGCGAGCCTTGCCTGAACCTCTTCTATGAAGCCTTCTTCTGTACCTCCGGGCTCCCTACAGCCGGGAGAGTTGAGCCTGATAGGAGGGGCCAAATTTGAATGTGTGTTTACAAACAGCAACTGGAAAATCCTCCAGACCCTACCTTTAAGTAAAAGTATGTAACTATAATCAGGAAAATTAATTTAAAAAATGTAAATGTAGAAAATGTAAGAGTATTAAAAGTAATAAAAGTAGTAAAATGTCTATGTCTTAATCAGTCTATGATCTGATCTACATAGGGAGTGGGTCCAGTAAAGTTGTCCAAAATGGACAAACCAAACACTGGTTCTAGATAGGACCATTTGTGTTTTCGCCTATTTTTGCGTTGGCCACTGTACTTAGCAGCCCCTCCGCGACAAGAGCGTTGCCAAAACACTTTTTTTTTTCCACTTTTTTTTTTTTTTTTTACTATTTTTTCAGTGTTTATCACCTGGGGCCTCATTTATAAAAGAGTGCTTAGGATTCATACTAAGAGTTGACGTGCGCCCAAAAGCTGAAAATGGCGTGCGCCAAAAAATAATCTAATGAAACCGTGCGCACGCACACTTGCACGCAGTGTTTTCTTTATAAATCACAGACCTCCTGGAGTTGTGTGCACCCAGATCCGCCTCATATTCCGCCCTCTACACGCCCTAGTTCAACCATAAATGGTCATGCAAATCACCTCATGAATGCGATCTGCATATAAATAAGCCGGCATGGGAGTGCTCTCTCGTTGTGTCACGGCGACGGGTGTGAGAAACGAACCAAAAAACGGAATTTCTCCGAGATTGAGCTAGAGACCCTTTAACGGGAGGTGGAGGACTGAAGAAAGATTTTATTTGGTAGCCACAGCAGCGGGATCACTAATAAAAGAAAGCGATAAAAGTGGCAACACATCAGCGCTGATGTGTGATGCTGTCAGCTGTGTCTGTGGGACTGCACGGACAGTGACAGAAAAAAAAAGTGGTCTGATCTAAAGGTAGACCAAATATTTTTACTCCTTTACCAACATGTAGTTAATGTGTTGCTTTTAAATTTGAGGATGTTTGACATTGATGTGCAACATAAAGAATCACATTTATTAAAGGTGGAGGCAAAAAGGAGTATGTGCCAGTGCCATCTTGCGCAATTACGTACGAGGGTCACCGCAGTATTTATATGTTTATGGCAATTAGTCTGATCAGACTCCCGGCCTGAATTACAGCAAGAACCAGTGGTATCCCTGTCCCAAAATACAACGTGTAATTTGAAATACAATTCAAAGATGAAAGTGTAATAGGCGAACATGTTTCTTTATGCCGGTTTTGTCATGAACAGCACGTCTAAGTAGGGCTGATGAAAGGAGTGTAACGGTTGTGCTTAATGGCTGTATTTCGAGACATGATAAATGCACTGGAAATATTTAGCTAAATAAATAAATATATTCCATGCAGTCACGCCATCCTCTTCCCCTCCTGCGCTCATAGAGTAGACAATGAGACGTTAGAGGCAGTGCGAATTAAATACGTATTTAGAAAGAATTTCAATTCAGGATTTGAGTTGGATTTTACAACGTTTTTACGAAACAATTATCACTCACTCCAAGTGCAAAATAAGGCTGCTGGATTTAATTTCAATGATAACGTGGATCTAAGGTGGATATAGCGTGACATTAAATTTGTGTGAGACATCAATAAAAATCTGACTCCACTTCTCCACCTCGCCGTCTGCGTCACCACTTCCCAGTGTCTCCAAAATGTGCGCACGCATGACTCAGAGTTTGCTTACAGGTGCGCACATTCTCCCGCCAAGTTTATTTTTTATAAATCACAACCTTTGCGTGAGAAGTGGCGTACGCCACTTTCAAGCCCCGTTTTGTGCATAAGCAAGCTTTATAAATGAGGCCCCTGGTCTGTTTGTTTTGGAAAGGAAAAGACCTCTAACTTATATTAACTTGGGAAAAGCAGTCGAGAAAACTTCAAAATCATTATATTTATTATAAAGAAAAGCAGCAAATCTTCATATTTGTGAAGCTGGAACCACGTTTTACATGAAATAAAGTCTTCAACAAACAAAATAGTTTTTAATTAACTTCTTGTCAATCAACTAATCCTTTCAGTTGTACAAACTGTGAGGTAGTTTCATTTCTAAGAAATCATCGTATTTTATAAAGTATTCAGTGTGTCATGTTTTGTAGGGGTCAGAATCACCACAGGCCCCATGATACAACATTATCTACGTCACTATAAAATATTACCATTTGTAACATTTTGGAGTAATAACATACATAACATAACATACATTACAATTTATTACCTTTTCAACTGCAAAGTGTTTAAAGTCTGTTCATCTCACTTAAATTATTTTTGCAGCAAAATGTTTCTAGCAGATTAAAAAAGCAATTCATTTTATTAAGTAAGCTACCAAAAGTTTACTTAGTATTTGCAATAATAATGACTTTTATACTAAAAAAAAATCTATTTTTGACATTGATGTATTGATACTATAGTGCCATGCAAAATATTGTGATACTATGTTACCTCATGTTTTGTCAAAAAAGAAATGTTGTAGTTTGTAAAGTTACTGCAGCTGTCAGATAAATGTACATGTCCTGGTGTTAAATGTTTCCTTTTGAGAAGTAGTGGGGTGGCATTAGAAAGTAACACATGAGAAAAAACAAATACCTCAAATTTGTACTTACGTACAGTACTTAGTAAATGTACAATTGCATTCTACCGCTGGTTGGTGGACCTGTGACTGAGCTCAGGTCAGGTGAGAAGGTGTGAGAGACGTCCCAAATGTTTACCTTCCTGGACACCAGCTGAAGAGCGTCCTCCTCAAAGGCCTTCACTTTGTTCAGCCTGGATGTGATGATCTGCTGCAGCTGCTTGAAGGTGTACGGCTGGAACGACATCCTGGTCAAACCCTGGAAACATTGAGACAGAGGCGTCATGTTACCTGTCAGGGTTTTTTGGTTTTGTGCAGATAATCATCTGAATTCCATCTTCATTTTCCACCATGAACACTGATATGTTTAAGGAGCTGCTTGTAGATCCAATCTAACTTTTTAGTTATTTCACACCCTATTTTCTGTGTGGTTCGGAATGCCAAAGCTCCTCAGTTTCAGCTCATTAAATGTGAGGATTTGCTGTTTTTCTTTAGGTTTTGGACTGTTGGTCAAACAAAACAAGACCTTTGATGAGTATTTTTCACTATTTTCTCACAGTCCATATTTTTCAAGTTTGTGAAACCTGTGAATTGTATGTACCAACTCCCGTATGTGTCTATAGACAACAGAGAAGCCTGATCACAGTGTTGATATTAAAGGGCACATCAGTGCAGGGCTACAGGGCTAGATCTCTCACCAGTCTGCTGGCCACTCTGTTGATCATGATCCTCTCCGGCAGGTCCATGGTGTTGGCGATGGTCAGCACCACCAGGCGGGCGTGACGCCTCGTCGGCCAGTCGAACAGGTTGTACATGACGTTCTGCTTCCTGGTCCATAACAGGTCCAACTACAGTCCAAAACAAAAAGGGTTAAAGCTTTGGAAATCCTGTTGAACATTAGTGCTGAACAATTTGGTGTTTTTATCTTCATGACATGAACAAATTTGTCCACATAAAGCCTGGCACCATTAACCAGCATTTCCAAACTGTTGTTAGCACACACAGAATGCCCTGCTGAGCCCATATCACTGTCACTATCCTCATTCATATTTTAAGGAGCTACAAATTCTTTTCAGCCACAAAATAAGCCTGAAAAGCTGGAAATTAGAAAAGAAGTTCAGAGAGTTGTTGCATAGAGATGATAGACCGTCTCATCTGGTTGCACTGGTGTGAACCAGCAGGTTTTTAGAAAGTTGCAACAATGCATTGCAAATAGTTGCCTGTTTCACCTCGTCTTGTTATAAACATTTGGTCTGAACTGGGCTTTAAGGGAAAGTTTTTAAAAAAGGTCATAATTCTAAAAAGTTTCTTAGTATTCTATTACCAGGAGCAATTCTTTGTACGATGAAGCTTTGTGGATACGTCCGCTGGTTTGCATTATTAATCTTTTATTCAAACTTTTTACACATTCTTTAATTTAAGTCCTGTACGTGAGACAATAGTGCAATGTTTTGGGGGAAATGCCCATAAAATAAAAGCTCAGCAATAAGAAAGAGTTCTTACTTCATCTACCAGCAGCACAGTGGTCTCCTTCCTGGGCGCAGGGTTGCTAAATCTTTTCTCCAGTAGCGCTGCTGCGTGGTCGGCCGTGGCCTTCTGACCCGTCAACTTCTGCAGAGACGAAACCATCACTTAAGTCAGTAAACACACCACAATGTCTTAATTCAACTGGGACATGATTCAGTCCTGTCATTTCTTCTCCAGAGTTAGATAAGAAGATGGATGTCACTATCATCTCTGGGACGTGTTTAGCCTAGCTTAGCACAACCACTGGAAGCAGCTGGAAACTGCTAGCATTGTTTAAAGTTGGTCAAGAGAGAGGTTTTTAAGATATCTTGACTTGTAGTCCCAAGTATGGGTCAAACTTCAAACCCAGAATCCGACATTTCTCATAATGCAGCTGTCTTTTTAGGATCTTTATACTTCCTGCCTCCTATTTGGTCACCCCTTTGAAACCAACACACCCAAGTTTATAGCACAGGATTTCTGTTACAACTCATGTCAACCTTGAACTTCATGTGTGAAATTGGTGAAGTGCTCCATTTTAATACCCTTTGGAAACATGGGTTGACATGTACAAAGTATTCAAATGGTCTGCCATCACTAATCCCTTAACCCACAGAAAAGGAACACAGCTTGTTTAAGACTCAACGTTTTTGTTTGAAAACAGAAAAATTTTCAATTTTCATGTTGTTGTCCCTATTAGGGGTGTCAGTTTCGTTTAATATTGCTTTCAAAAGGCTGACACCCATTAACTGGTTACTAACTGGTTAATTTTTAAGAAAAAAAAAATAATAAAAAAATAAAGATGTGAAATACAAGAGGCCCTTCCTTTAAGTCCAACGCTCATTTGACTCGGCGAGCTTAAGCACTGCATTTCAAAGCACTATCCAGGTGATGAAATATTAACGTTTTCTGACATAAGTGTCTTGCCTTTTACTTTATTTTCTGTTGGCTTTGCTAACAGACAACAGGCTAGCTGCATTAACATGTGGAAACATGGTGCCCATTGCCCAACCCCCAGTCTTCATTGTTTTTTTGGCTGTTCTGCACTGTGCATCAGCCGGGTTGGAAGGGAGCTCGTTAGCTAGCTAGCAGCGTCGCTCATTCGCAGATTACAGCTAGTAACGCCGTCCCTGTGGCAGAATGCATTGCTATGGAAATACTGTACCCACCCTCCAGTCTCCCCCCAGGTTGCCCCAGTGATTAAGTGGCAAACCCCTTTTAGCATTGTTTACAATGTTAGCACCTCTAGCTGTGCTGACACTGCTATTGTTAGTAACAGAGCTAACAGTGATAAAAAAAAAGTCAACAATGCTAAAGGGAGTTTTATGTAGACATGTATGGCTGCAGACACATTCCGTTTGTGGTGTACACTACACGCCCCTACAAACTGCGCACACCACGAGTGCAAAACAAACCCACAAATGCGACGGGTATCTAAACTGTGCTACAATGCTACACTGTTGTGAATAAATGAGACCAAATGTAGCAATGATCCACTTTAGAATTCATAACAGCTATACTTTGCTAATTTAGCATTAACATAAGTAACGAGATGTAGCTCTCCCATTAAACTTATCCTAATCTTAACCACCTCTCATTCAATGTAATAATTTATAGCTAACGTCAGCTAAAAGCTAATTTAGCATTAGCATACGTAACAAGATGTAGCTTTCCCACTGCCCTTATCCTAACCTTATCTGTCTCTCTTTTAATGTAATACTTCATAGCTAGCTAATTGCTAATTTAGCTATTTCGCCGGATCTTTTGCTTCTGGGCCAAGGAGTGAGAGGGGCTGATAGCGGACTGACGCACTGGTGTGGTGGGTGAATTATGTAGCTAGAGGGCAGGTCACGTAGCTGCTCTAGTTGCAGTTAGGTAGGGATGGTGTTAGTAGCAGTAATGGCCGAATGAGCAGAGTCGCTAATGCTAGCTAGCGCCTACTAGACCCAGGTGGCATGCAGTGCAGTGAACTGATGAGTAGCATAATTAAACTATGGTCAGATGTGCTTAACTAGACAAAAATATTCCCTGCAGTTAACTGAGAGACAAAAACTGAGTAAAAAACACCCTGAATATGTTTAGAACTACAAATGAACCTTCTTTCAGTGATTTATATTAGACAAAGAAAATTTTACATTTACATCCCGCCCTGACTGTAAACCAGGTCGGGATCAGCCAGCGGCGGTTCCGCACGTGCGCGATTCACTTGCAGTCTGGATGCGGAGGGGTTAGTATCTCCTGCTCTGACTGCAGCTGGGAGGAAGGACTGGCCCACATGTGAGTACTTTGGGGCGAGGGAGGGGCCCGTGGCAGCATCCGCTGCTCGTTGAGAAGAATAAGAATGATACGTGCTTTCACGTCAGCGTCTCCGAAAGTCTCCAATAACCTCAGAAAAAGTCGCTAGATTTGTCGCTAGTCGCTTTTTTGAAAAAGAGTCGCTAGAGGGGTCTGAAAAGTGGCTAAATATAAGTTGGCAACACTGACTGTAGTTTAAAAAAAAAAAAAAAAAACAACACACATGACAATGTGTGGTTCAGCTGGCAAATGTTTTCCTTGAAATTTTCTTTCTTTTTTTTTTTAAATCAAGAAACACTTCTATTACTTTTTAGATCTAATTTTCATCTATTTTTAATAGTTAAAATAACCACTGATAGATGTTAGAAGAGCGGCACTGAGTGGACTGCAGCACACTTTTTATCATCATTTTGTCTTCTGTGTGAAGCTCACTGCTCTCACCTGTAGGATCTGGACGTAGGCCTGATGAGGATCTGTCATTTTCATCCCATTGATCTCGATGAAGTGGAAAGGAGGAATCTCGTCCACCTCAGCCGCATGCTGCAGACAGCGCATCACCTCGTGGACCGTGGCCGTTTTACCTGTACCTGGCACACCTGAGATGTACATGCACCTGAGACCCAAACAACAACAACAACACAACAGGTGAGCAGAGCCACCAGGAGACACACAGCCTTAGCCTTTATAGCGCTTTATAATCTATACCTAAAGGTCAGCAATTAATCAATTTATTGATGGACAAAAAACTAATTATTGTAGTCAATAATCATTGATAATGGATACAATTCTGTGTGTTTTCTTATAAAACAATTTGAGAAGAGAACAAACTGCTCACAGCTAAGCGTCACAAGCAACCTGCACCTTGAGGTGCTACTTGTTATTGTACGTACATTATGATTGCACTGATTGGACTGAAATAAATACTTTTATTGGTAATAGCTTTGTTTGAGGAATGGAAGATGTTTTTGTAATTTTTTTTAATTTAAGTGCAATCAGAGTTTGAGAAGCTTCCTGTTTAGATCAGGAAACATCTGATCAGATTATAGAAACAAGAAACTGAGCAGACATTTGATGCAGGCCTCTTGTACCTGTAACAGTTCTTGATATAAGGGACAGATTTTAGTCTGTAATCAACACGCTGTGATGTTTGACCTGATCGAGGTGAGGGGGGACTATTCAGGTCACAAGTCAAAGACTTTGGAAACCTGTAAATTCTGGGCCAGCATTAGAATCTGGATCTTACCCTCCCGTTCCATCTATGATCTTGCTCTCAACAAAGCTGTAGATGTCTTGAAACTCCTGCTCCCTGCAGGGCAGAGACTCCGGCACCGAGGACACATGCAGCCTGATGAGACAAATACACACAGTAATACACTTTAACAAATGCTCAATTAACTTTGTAGACCATCTGCTTCACTGACTGAATAACACTTTGTTATCAAAATCCTTGAAAACTAGTAGATTCTGAATAAAGAAGAAAAGAGAAGTCAGTCCTCTGAGACAGTGAACAGTGTTCCAGTAACTTCTCAAGCAATACTGTACGTCACACATAGTCTACCAAACATTCACTGGTTTCAGCTTCTCAGTTGTGGTGATTTGATGCTTTCCTTTGTTTTATATGGTTGTAATTAATATGTCTTCGTGTTTTGGACAGTCTGATGGACAAAACAAGACATCTGAAGATGTCCCCTTGGACTCTGGGATTTTGCAATGCCAATTATTTTTTGTGATTAATTCTGCAGCCCTGATGTGTTTATATATAAATAGATATGAGGGTCAGAGGTCACTGATTGTTGTGTCTCACCTGGTTCTGGCCTCCTCCAGAACATTAGCCGGCTTTCGGGCTGGCAGCGACCTGCTAGGGATGCTGGGAGTGGCGCGATGAGGAGTCCGTGGCGTGCTGGGTGTGACCTGTCGAAACAGGAAACGGTTAAGGGAGACAAAGTGAGTAAAAAAAATGATGAAGACATTCCCTCTGATCTGGATGTTTCCAGGACTTTTACCTTTATGTTTGGAGTCTTTCGAGGCGTTCTGGTCGAGGAGCGAGTTTTCTGCTTTGAACGAGGAGTGCCAGACCCTGCAGCAGCATGTCTGCCTTTTTTAGACAACACCTCCTCATCACTATCCAGCCCTGCCTCCTCTTCCCCATCGTCACCATCATCCTCACTGCTGCTCTGCAGCTCCTTCTTGGATGGAACAAACTCGTCCTCATCCTCTCCATCTGAGTTCAGGTCCAGCTGGTTGTCCAGAAGATTCCTGATCCAACAGTCAGTGAAGTTAGTTTGTTAAGTGCTGAAACAATGAGCTCATCAGTCAGTGGACTGGAAAATCAACCTGTTGACCCTCTCTCTGCACTCACAGCTGCTTTCTGATGCGAGACGACACCTGCTGAGCTGACTTCCTCTTGGAGCTCCTCGGCGTGGCGGTGACCGGCAGCATCGGAGAGCTTTCATTATCCACTTCAGCCCTGTCAACATCACACATCAAAAGTATCAAATCCGTCACATTTTTATGGTATAAACCAATTTTTCAGAGTCAGGTGGAAAAAGGAAAATATTAAGATATTATTTTGAGTGAGATGTAGACTATTCCGATCCAATGGATGAACAACCCTTGAAAACCAAACTTGCACAGGGAGGTGAATAAAAAGTCCAGTTAACCTTATCAAATGCTTTTTTGCATATAATGATACAATTATGTTTTGTTTTTGTTGTGATATACTGATTAGGTTGAACAGCCTGCAGTTGTTATCTGAAGCCTGTCTGTTGTTGATGAAGCCTGTCTGATCAGCTTGAATTAGAATGAGGGTAAGTGTCTTTACTCAGGTTTCTGGTGTTTTGGTGATAATTTTGTAAGTCTGTGTTGATAAGTGAGAGAGGATGGTAGGTTTTAGGAAAAAAAGTGTCATCGCAGCAGTATTCATGTGTGTGGGTATGATGGAGGAGCTTCAACTTCTGCAGTTACTCTGTAAAATAGTGATGAAAGAATGCTCCAGAAGTGTTTCTTGAATTCAGCAGTAGAATCTGTCTGGTCCAGGTGATTTATTGTTTGGCATATCAGAGCTAATTGACTTCATCAGGGGGGAGGGGTGCGTCTAAGATGTTTGCTTGCTCTCTAGGTAATGTTGCTAGAGCACCTTTCTAGTTTTCTTACCACTCAAAGTGCTTTTACACTACATGTCACATTCACCCATTCACACACACATTTACAGACAAGTGGCCGAAACATACAGTCAGGTCCATAATTATTTGGACAATGATACAGTTGTCGTCATTTTGGCTCTGTACACCACCACAATGGGTTTTAAATGAAACAATGAATACCTGCTTAAAGTGCAGACTCACAGCTTTCATTTAAGGCTTTTTTCAAAAATGTAGTATGAACCATGTAGGAATTACAACCATTTCTTCACACAGTCCCCCAACTTTAAGGGCTCATAAGTATTTGGACAAACTAACATAATCATCAATTAAACAGTCAGTTTTAATACTTGGTTGCAAATCCTTTACAGTCAATGACTGCCTGAAGTGTTGGACACATAGGCATCATCAGATGCTGGGTTTCTTCCCTGGTGATGCTCTGCCAGCCCTTTACTGTAGCCGTCTGCACTTCCTGCTTGTGTTTTGGGTGTTTTGCCCTCAATTTTGGCTTCAGCAAGAGAAACGCATGCTCAGTTGGATTCAGGTGAGATGATATGACTTGGCCATTGCAGAACATTCCACTTCTTTGCCTTAAAAATGTCTTTGGTTGCTTTTGCAGTATGCTTCAGGTCAATATCCAACTGCACTGTGAAGCATCGTCTAATGAGTTTTGAAGCATTTAGTTGAATCTGAGCAGATAATGGTGCCCCAAACACTTCAGCTTTCATCCTGCTGCTCTTGTCAGCAGTCACATCATCAATAAATACAAGAGAACCAGTTCCACTGGCAGCCATACATGGCCATGACATAACAGTACCTCCACCATGCTTCACTGATGAGGTGGTGTGCGTTGGATCATGAGCAGCTCCTTCCCTTCTTCCTTCTCTTGTCTTCCCATCATTCTGGTAGTTGATCTTTGTTTTATCTGTCCATAGTATGCTGTTCCACACCTGTACAGGCTTTTTAGATGGTTTTTGACAAACTCTAATCTGGCCTTCCATTTTTAAGGCTAACCAATGGTTTGCATCTTGTGATAAATTCTCTGTATTTATTCTAGTGAAGTCTTGTCTTGCTTACAAGAGCAGCAGGATGAAAGCTGAAGTGTTTGGGGCTACATTATCTGCTCAGATTCAACCAAATGCTTCAAAACTCATTGGACGATGCTTCACAGTGCAGATGGACATTGACCTGAAGCATACTGCAAAAGCAACCAAAGACATTTTTAAGGCAAAGAAGTGGAATGTTCTGCAATGGTCAAGTCACATCATCTCACCTGAATCCAATTGAGCATGCGTTTCTCTTGCTGAAGCCAAAACTGAGGGCAAAACACCCAAAACACAAGCAGGAAGTGCAGACGGCTACAGTAAAGGGCTGGCAGAGCATCACCAGGGAAGAAACCCAGCATCTGATGATGCCTATGTGTCCAACACTTCAGGCAGTCATTGACTGTAAAGGATTTGCAACCAAGTATTAAAACTGACTGTTTAATTGATGATTATGTTAGTTTGTCCAAATACTTATGAGCCCTTAAAGTTGGGGGACTGTGTGAAGAAATGGTTGTCATTCCTACACGGTTCATACTACATTTTTGAAAAAAGCCTTAAATGAAAGCTGTGAGTCTGCACTTTAAGCAGGTATTCATTGTTTCATTTAAAACCCATTGTGGTGGTGTACAGAGCCAAAATTACGACAACTGTATCGTTGTCCAAATAATTATGGACCTGACTGTACATGCCACCTGCTACTCAGTAACCATTCACACACTCTCACACACCGATGGAACAGCCATTGGGGAGCAATTTGGCTTTCAGTATCTTGCCCTAGGATACTTTGACACACAGGCTGGAGGAGCAGGTAATCAAACCACCAATCTTCCAATTAGTGGACAACTCACTCTACCTCTGAGCCACAGTATGCATGTATGAATGTACTTACAGCACTCCCAGGGCTGGTTCCATCAGGGTTTTCTGTTCTTTTTTTCGAGACGGAGTGGTGGCTCTGTTGGAGGACACATTTAATTTTTTGGATTACATCACTGTGTTTAGTTAAAGAATAAGAAACTCAAACAATGTGCAGACACTGGCTACAAGTTCACCCGCCTGTGCACACTCACACCTCAAAAGAATATAAAAGCTGAAAAAAGTAAAAGTCACCACAAACACACAGGTGTCAACTACAGTTTTGTTCCTCTGACACACCTCTTTGTTGTGCTCATAGACATTGTATTACCAGTTATTACAACCCCCACACTTGCTGTGTCTGACTCACTTCTGCCCTCTGATGGCATACTGTCTCCTTGGCGTAGCAGTTCTTCTTCTGGGTGTCTTAACCGAGTCAGTCGGTAACCCTGCATCCATCACATCATCACCCTGCTGGAGACTTTAACCAACAGAAGAGGCATCAGTGAGCCTGGACTTTCCCTCAGGCTATCTCATTTTAAACCAGTTTAAATCATCTTAAGTCAAGGTCCTTTTGCTCGCTTTTGCCCGAGCTTTCAGCTGCTGAGGAAGACTGTGGCATCAAACTACTTCTACTACCTTTCATTTCAGTATGTAGACATTTATCATACTGTTTCTGTTCACACAGATTTTTATCTTACTGACTAACTACTACATGACTCCAGCTGACGACACATCAGTCAGCATGGCTGACAGTGATACAGAAACCTGGATCAGGGTTCAAATGTTACAGCATCCTGGTTTCTGAGTACTCCTAAGGACATCCAGATTCCTACAAACAGGACAGGATGTTTATATGTTCTAACTGGTCTATGGAGGACAAAAAATGACAATACATGTAGTATTGTTATAGTATCAATACATAAAAAAGCATAAATACATCAACTACAAAAAAATAATAAATTAATGAAAAATTATGATATATAAATAAAAGGTGATAATTCAATAGGACATAAATAACAAAATGTATTTCTGTTCACCTCTTTAGCTGTTATTTGTGTATTTGTTCTATGTATTTACTGATTTTTGTGTCTGTATGTTATTGCGATATGAGATCTATTTATATATGTATGTATTTAATTATTTATTTCTGTATTTATTTAGGCATTTATTTATATATCTATTACTGGAATTGTTATTTCCACCAGGTGTTAGCCTTTATTTATTTATTAATTTATTTGTTCATTCATTCTTTCTTTAATTTATTTATTTATTTCTGTATGTTAATTTTTAATTCATCAATATCAATTTCAGCTGAGGCTGATGGGAATGTCATTAGTTCTTCAGGTATTTGGTCATAAACCAAAGTATTGGACTTATTAAAAGGGGACACCACATAAATTAAGAATTCCAATATATAAAAATATTTCCATAATCTAAGAAAGTTCACTCAATATTTGTGAATATGAGCTTCTCTCTCTCAAAGCCAGAAACCAGAGAAGTCTCAAACTTGTGATCATAGAGTATAGTCTGGAGCTGCTCCATAGTCAATGAACGGGAGCCTGAATTTGTGGACAGAATGTTTGTTTTCTTTTTCATACCCAAATGAGCGTTAATCAACTGTAGTGTTCTCAGTCCTGAAACAGAAAATGTACCCATACAGACCGAATCACCATAACGTTGTGCTAACAACAACAATCACTTCCATGTAGACAACTGGCAATTGACTTCAATTGCGGAGATATGTAAAATCTGCAAACTTGTTGATATTGGTTGTCATTTTCAACAATAACTGTAAAATTTAAAGATTTATAGTTAAACATGGTGGTCTGACCTATCTGACTTTTCTGCTGTGTTTATTTGATGTACCGTGTTGCTTTGGTAGTGTCTACTGGCACAGAAGCTAAACAATGTACTGCTGTCGACAGGGGCTGCAGTAAAATATAGTTTAAACACCTAAAAAAATATCAGCATAAGTGCATGCTATATGTGAATATATTCTCAGGTTTACCTTAAACACTAAAGCTCCATGTCCACCAAGCGCTCTGTTACGGTTCAGTTCAGTTGGGTACACATTTTTTCCATTTCCACTGTGAAAAGTTCCTAACTGTCCCCACTTTTGGTCACCTCTTTATTGGGATACCTTGCACACAGATCTGGTACTAAAAGGTGGAGCTAGAACCACTGCAGTCCATTGATTGGTCAACAGCAGACAGTCACTCTGCTCGGGGCTGAGATGTGGCTGGTTTTGAGGCTTATGTAACCACTGTTCATACCGTGTCAAGTCTTACACATATTAGTAAACTGTAACTATAAAATGAAAGGATGTTCTGCTGCCTCTCACAGCAGCTGTAGACTGAGAAAGAAAATAACTTAACACATGACTGACGGAGACTTTAAAGTGGGACGTTAACTTGTAATATTACTCAATGCATTGATGACGTGAATCCATCAACTTTAATATGACAACTCTGACCATTCCATTAGTTTTTATTTTCTCTCTTGGGTGACATACACTTTTAGTAATGAGTGAATCTTCAAGCGTTTAAAATTACTTGGAGGGAAAAAAACAGCATTGCGGAGTGTCGTTCCTGTGGGCTCCAGCTACACTAAACCCCTGCGCTTGCCTGAGAAGGACTAAATGCACCTGCTGTTTTTAAACATCCCATGGAGAGAGACTCTCACTGCAGCCTGTTCTTTTTTGTTATGAAAATGTCTGCATGCAACCTTGTTCTGCACACAATAAACAAGGTGGAGACTTTCCTCTGTGTCACCGGTGATGAGGAAATACAGCGAGAGTTGGAAGGAGCAGTGAGTGACAACAACCCTGCCCACATTTAAGAGTACTGTTTGCAGAGGATAAACTAAACTGACCTAGGGTCAAGGTACCATGTCTGAAGGGTTACTTTGGGTTCCAAAGGTACCATACCGAAAGTGACCAAATTACTGTTCTTGTCAGTTGAGTCTAGTGGCTCCAAATCCCTGTCATAAAAGGCTATCTGACAGCAAGGTAAAGTAGTGGAAATCTTCTAAACATAGTGTACATCTAAACTGATACTGATTTTTTGGTTGGCCTTCATTAGGTGGCTAAAAACTAAACTAAGGCAGCATTTGCTCAACCCCATTTGATTTTATATACATGACGCGAGGCCTCAGAGCATTCCCCTGGGTGCACTCATTGTCATCTAGAACATCTTTCCCAAATCACTGTCTAAGGAGCAGCTCCTGACTTTATACCCTACCCTGTGCGTGGTTCACCTTTAAAATGTTAATGGTGCTAGATGAGAAGTAAGACAATCCCCCTTCATTCTGAGGGGTAACATTAATATGTGAACCACATTTCATCATAATCCATTCAACAATCATGTTTTAGTTCTGCAGGTTAAAAAAAATCTATTTTGTGGCGAAATAGCCAAGCAGCAGCAAAAACACAATACCAGAATACACCAAACCCCCTGATCGGAGCATCACTGCTTAAAACCTACAGATGGGGATGCACAATAATGTCGACTTTTAATTGAAATATCAGAATCGGCCAACATGCTTTTTCTTATTTTGTACAATGAATGAATATTACCTAAATTAAAAAGTATTGTATTTCATGTCTCCATCTACTAGTGGGCCATCATGATAAGAGTATCCATGCATAATATAATGTTTAATTCCACTACAGAAGAGACTTGATGGTCACAAAAATCAGGTAGGGAAAGAAGTGGATATATCAATATTGGTATCAGTTATCAGTCAAATGAGTTGTTGCATATCAGGTATCAGCAAAAAACACAATATCATGCATCCCTGCCTACAAACTGTAAAATCATGTGGACATTGTGACTGTGAGAGAGTCGACTCTGACCTGGAGGAGTCGTCTCTTGCAGATGATGGAGGACTGTCCATTTCAGAGAGACAATGTTTGTTGAGAACGACAGTGGAGGGCTTCAGGGGGAAAGCTCCCTGAGCGGCGGGGGCTTGGTGGACCTTCCTGAGGGGGCTGAGGCTGTGGGTGAGGGGCAGGACCTGAGGAGGAGAGGATGACGACGACAGCCTTTGAGACAACGTCACCTCTGACTCCAGCTCCTCGTCCAGCAGCTTGCTCAGGATGTCCTCACGGATCATTGACGACTTCTCTGGACCTGAGAGGACGAGGAGAGAAAACATGATCTCAGGACATCATTAGCCAGCAGAGTGAACTAAATAATCAGAGGTGAAACAGTCATTTTTAAAACAAATAATTATTGAGTGAGGACTATTGGTGTCAAAAAGCAGCACAAAGTCTAATGACAACCTCTCTGAAACAGTGTCACAAAAATATTCTTTTTAAAAATGATCTTCCTTAAAGAGTAACAAATATTATTGGCCAATCACACACGGTGTTTTATCTCATTGTATATTTCTTTTACCTCCAATGCTTTGACTGATGCTTCAAACCCTTTGAGGTCTCAGGTCCTCATCTTTGAATGCTAACGCAACCTCTTTCATTATGTGTGTTGCAGCTGCAACTTTTTAGTGTCTCAATACTTGATTTCAAATGTTTCAAATGAAAAATCTCAGCAGTGAGTATGTAGAAATTCTCTCAGAAAATGTAGCTTTTTCTACTTCCTGTCAACAGATTAAATTTATATCAAAAAGTGCCTTTTCAAACCATGTTTTGTAGGTTTTGGCCCCACGATCGGAGTCCTTCAATATTGCCTTTCTTCTGAAACCAAGTCAGATCCCATACTTATCCTACTATTAAATGGAGAAACCTCTGTCCCTCCGTCCGTCCGTCCGTCCCTCCGTCCGTCATCATCCGTTTTCCTCTTCACTGCTTTGACCTACTTCTCTGAACTTGCACACAGGCTTTCATTCTTGGTCATGTGCAGACAGCCACGATGCTGTTTTTGCATTTTTCCCACATTTCTACTGTTTATATTTGTGCTTTTGTCCACTACCCATTCATACTGTGAGCACCATTAGCAGCGCAAACTGCACATGCACGCTGGGACCACAGTTTGGCTGGGAAACCTTTATCTCTAACACTTGCGGATCGAAACCTGTATGTGTGTACCTGTGTGCCCGTGCACGGCCCACACACGTGCGTGCCTCCATGCTGTCAGCCAAAACTATGCTCCATGTATTTTGCCATAAAGCATGTTTCTAAATACAGTGTGCATTGTTTGTCTTGCATTAATATTTATTACACAGTGCATTTACAGTGCTCTGATTTTGCATCTCCTCTATTAAACTGTTTTTCATTTCTTATTCCTCTATACATAACACATCCCCGGGTGTGGACTAGTATTTACATTAATACTGATATATATCAGACACATAGGCCTGTCATGATACCTTTCTTAGAGGCCATATTGTCCAAGATATACTTGTGATAGCATAATAATGGAAGTACACCCTTTCAGAGAGCAATGAAGTTTTAATTTTTGGGAATATTGAGTTATTAGAAAATATTTACGCTTGATTATATATACACGAGACTACACTCACCGACAACTTTATTAGGTACACCTGTTCAACTGCTCATTAATGCAAATAGCTAATCAGCCAATCACATGGCAGCATGCATTTAGGCATGTCGACATTGTCAAAGACGACCTGTTGAAGTTCAAACCGAGCATCTGAATGGGGAAGGTGGTGATTTAAGTCACTTTGAACATGACGGGCTGGTCTGAGTATTTCAGAAACTGCTGATCTACTGAGATTTTCACACACAACCATCTGTAGGGTTTACAGAGGATGGTCGGAAAAAGAGAAAATATGCAGTGAGCAGCAGTTCTCTGGGTGAAAATGCCTTGTTGATGCCAGAGGTCAGAGGAGAATGGCCAGACTGGTTCAAGATGATAGAAAGGCAACAGGAACTCAAATAACCACTCGTTACAACCTCAGGTATGCAGAAGACCATCTCTGAACGAACAACACGTCGAACCTTGAAGCAGATGGGCTACAGCAGCAGAAGACCACACTAGGTGCCACTCCTGTCAGCTAACAACAGGAAACTGAGGCTACAATTCACACAGGCTCAAAATCTGACAATAGAAGACTGGAAAAACATTGCTCGGCCTGGTTCACTATACTCCAATGGCCTCCATTGTCACCAGATCTCAATCCTTTGGAGCACCTTTGGCATGTGGTGGAATAGGAGATGCGCTTCATGGATGTGCAGCTGACAAATCTGCAATAACTGTGTGATGCTATCATGTCAAAATGGACCAAAATCTCGGAGGAATGTTTCCAGCACCTCGTTGAATCTATGCCACAAAGAATTAAGGCAGTTCTGAAGGCAAAAGAGGTCCAACCTGGTACCAGCAAGGTGTACCTAATAAAGTGGTCGGTGAGTGTATATAAAATGATACAACGTTTATAGGAGTAGCCAAATTTCTCAATTTGAGACTTAATACAAAATTTGGCCAACAAAACCAAAACCAAATGATGCCTCTTGCGACGAAGAGACAAACTTAGCAAAGCTCCGCAAACACCACAGTTGCTATTATTCTGGCCGGTGTCCTGCAGTAAGCTCCCGGGGGATAGACAGCCTGCTAGCCGGGTGGTTTGGAGGATGAGGTTGTTGGAGGGTAAAACTACAAACAATTGACTTATTGGCTCATTGCCAGTGTTGGCAAGCTAAAGACTATCAGGACTGTGCCTCTTCCACCTCAAAGTGCAGCTGCAGGCTACCAATAAGCTACACTGTGTCGTTTTTGAGTTTTTTTTTTTTTTGTTTAGACTTGCTTAAGTAGGCTGGGATGGAATAAAAGAAAAGGAAAATTTGTTGCACCCAGGCCTTTTTTAATTTTTTTTTATAAAAAGTATTTTTTAGGGGCATTTTTGCCTTTGATAGGAAAGCTGATTGTGAAGGGAGGAGAGAGAGGGGACATGACATGCAGCAAAGGGCCACAGGCTGGAGTCGAACCCGGGCAGCTGCGGCAACAGCCTTGTACATGGGGCGCCTGCTCTATCCACTAATCCACCGACCGATACAGGTACTGTATGGCGGTGTGAGTCCACTGTGAATGGTGTTTGTTTTTGAAACACTCACCGTTTAGTTCCAGTTTCTTGCGAACGCCAGGCGTCCTGGCCGAGGCGTTCCTCCTCTTGGCACTCAGACATTTGGAGGCCGACAGTTTGGTGGCAGAGTGCAGCGACTCTGCTTCTGCTGCACCAGCTTTCCCCGCACTCATGGTGGCCCTGCTGTATCTCACTTCCCCTGACGCAGCCCGGCGTATGACGGCGAGGTCCGGGGTCGGCAGGGCCCGTCGAGCAGGGCCACGAGTCGCTGGAGCCGCTGCAGGTGGGGAGTTGGGAGGGGAGGGGGGGAGGGAGGGTCTGGGACAGGAAGGAGGAGGGGAGGAGGAAGCTGAGACAAGTTCGGACTCCACTGCTTTGAAGGTCTTGGAGTCCCAGGACAGTTTCACGTACAGGGTGTCTCTATCGTTAGAGTCCGGGAATGGAGCTGCTCCGTCCAGGTGCTTCACCTTTGAGTGACAGGACAGAGACTTCAAGGGTCAGTTCACCTGAATAATTTTCCCACTCACCTCTAATATCTGTCCATGCAGACAGTTTTTGTTTTCAGATATCTGCATCAGTAGTGGTGAAGAAAATTAGGAAAAAAAATTACATAGAAAAACAAAAACACTGAAAGCAAATCGTCAGGCCCCATGAAAAGAGCAACACTTACACACATGTTGACTTACACATGACATGTTTCTCGACTGATTTAGCATTGCACTATAACACCTTAAAACTGACAAAGGACAGTTAAAAATGTGAAAATTGATGCAGCAGAAGAAGAGACATCATCTTTTTATTCTCTTTTGACCCAGAAACACCTGCATGTTATTGAAAATGCTATGAATCATTTCCTAAATCTATAACAAATCCTCCTCAAGACACTTGCATGCAGAACCTCTCCAGAGTGGAACCTGTTACCAGAGGTGTGGACTCGAGTCACTAATTTGATAACTTCAGACTTGACAAAACAAAAAAGACTTGCAACTCGACTTGGACTTTAACATCAAGGACATGTGACTTCACTTACACTTGAGCTTTTTGACTTGACATTAGGGCTGCAACGATTAGTCAACTAATGGATGACTAATCGACTATTAAAATAATCAGTGACTATTTTAGTCGTCGACTAATCGGTTTGAGTCATTTTTCATAGAAAAGTACTATAAAAGTACCCCAAAATACTCTTATTGCAGCTTCTTACATTCAAATATTGGCAGCTTTACACACCCTCCCATGACGGTGAACTAAAACCCTTTGGCATGAGTATGAAACAAGATGACATAATTTTGGGGTTTGGGAGAGACAGACCGACATTTTAACACATTTTTCAATAAAATGATTAGTTGAGTAATCGAAGAAATAATCAACAGATTAGTCGACAATGAAAATAATCGTTAGTGGCAGCCCTACTTGACACTACTTGAAACTTTCCCCAAAGCCCAAAGATTAAAAACTATATTTAGGTCAGTGATGTCATAAATGACATTCAAGTGCTTTATTTACTATTTTAGAATATTTATGTTTTTTTATGATTAAGTTCAGTTGTACTTGTTTTAACCAAAGCTTACATATTTTATAAGCATTCATTATTTTGTAAATTTGATACAATTTTACTCTGCTTTTAAAGTTGCATTACATTTGGTGAATAGCGCATAATGACTTGTTTGGGGCTCAAAACTAAGTCAAGCAGGCGCCCGATGTGCAAAGGCTTTGTCCTTGCCGCAGCGGCCAGGGGTTCAATTACGACCCACGGCCCTTTGTTGCATGTCATACCGCTTCTCTCTCCCCCCTTCATGCTAAGGTCCCGTTTATACGACAACAATTTCAACTGAAAACGGTAAACTTTAGTTGCGTTTTGGCTGATCGTTTACACGACAGCAACATTTTTGCCCGGCCTGACCTCTGCGGCCCTCCCTGGACGGATGCTCAAGTGTGGGTGAGAGGAGTGGAGAGGACCACGGAGGTTAGGCCGGGCGGGGCGACAGTGTGTATCCCAGAACGGGTGCTCAAGTGTGGGTGAGAGGAGCGGAGAGGATCACGGAGGTTAGGCAAAGCGGGCCGACACTGTGTAACGTTATCCCAGAACGGGTGTTTAGGTGTGAGGGGCGGAGAGGTATTTGGGTATAGCAAAAAAATAAAAATAAACTTCAGGTTGCAGCCTCCGCTCGGAAAATTAAACGGTCCTAAAACTGCGGCCCTGAAACTGTAGCCTCCAGTACTGCAGCTTTACTTTACTCGATTTTGCGGCTCCGTGTGAACAGAGATCATTTCAATAACATCGTCATATAAACGTGGAAATTTTCTAAAACGCAAAGGAAAGACTTTACCATTTTTAGAGAAACTGTTGTCGTCTAAACAGGGCCTAACACTGCCCTATTAATTCAAGGCAACACGACTCAAGACTCAAAACTCAAAGTGTAGGACGTAACACTTGACTCAGGACTTGTCAGTCCTGACTTGGGAGTCAGGACTTGTGAGTGTTGGGACTTGAGTGCAAAGACTTGACTTGTGAAACGATGACTTGGTTCCACCTCTGCCTAACTAATTCAAAAAGCTTCAAACTGCAAATAATTTTAAATTTTCTAAATATCTACTTCTTTTTGGGCCTGTGTTACAATTTGTCTTAACGTCCCAATTTTTTGAGCAGTATATGTAAAATTTACAGAACTCATCAATGCTTTTAAAGTTGTTAAATCAACTTTGTTTAAAAAGTTACTTAGCTGTTAATCTAACGTTAGCAAAGCATTAGCTCGCTAACAGTGTTAACGTTAGCCTCAACTGTTGTTTGTGCAACTTCAAACAAAATTGGAAGTTGTGTCTCTGTAATTTTTGCCTCGCATATTTTGCATACTGCAATTTGTTTTTTGTTGACAACTTGTAGTTTTTGTATGCAGACAGAAATATCCTTGGTATCATTTTTTCCAACTGCTACACAGTTACAGAAAGTTAGTTCTTCATAGCTCTCTCCTGCTACTTGACTGGATGCTGTCAGATTGATTCAAACAAAGTGCATCTGGGGAGTTCAGTGTAGACGTGCTGGGAATAAATAGTATTAACATTAGTTGATTCAGAAAATGAAGGGACATGAATTGATTCTTGGTGCACTTTTTTAATATCACACTTGTATCTTTGGGCTTGGGGACGGTATCAAGTATTTTCAAGTCAGAAGGCTTAAGGCCATGTGAAGTAACAAGTCATTAATGTTGAAATCCTAGTCGAGTGGCAAGTCTTTGATTTTGTCGAGTCCAAAGTTATCAAATTTGTGACTCAAGTCTGACTTAGGGCCAAGGCATGTGAATCAAGTTCTGGTTACCATTAATAAAACTGCACACTTGAAAGTGAGAGTCCTTTACCTTCACAGGTCTGAGGATGGACTCAGCATTGACTTCGTCGTCACAGCTGCGCCCCTTGTAGTAGAAGATCTCCTGTGGGTGAGGCTCTCTGCCCAGCAGGTTCAGTTTGCTCAGAGGCACTTCAGACACACGGACAAACCACTGAACCACCGCCTTCTTCTGCTGCCCACTCTCTGACACATGATGAGAGAGAGGAGACATTTAGCTACAAGCCTTTGACGACAAAGTGAAGTGTAGCATCAAGTCATCGAGACTCACCATCACCATACAGCCTGATGACTTTGGCCACATACGGGTTGTCTTCGTCATCTCCCTCTATGAGGATGTGCTGGCCCGTGCTAATAACAGTGGTCCTCGGGAGACCCTCCACACTGATGGCCAAAGAGCTGACACACAAACAGACAATGAACATGAACAACATGATTTTTGGAATCTAAATCAGATATTATATGTGTTTTTGTTGAATCGTTTCTTTCCTCAGGTTGACAGCATTTCTACATGCAAATTCTGACATTATTAGGCAAGACTGAAGAGATTATTAACATTTAAATCTGATGTCTTATTCACAGTCAGTGTTTGACTTCCTCCCAGCTTCATAACATTCTCATTTTAAAAAATAACTCTCTTTTTTTCCATCAAAGTGAAACACTGATTTGTTGAAATCGGACAAATATGGAATCTAAAATCATCAGTGCAGACTTATAAATTGGTTTACTTACTTTTGGGGTTATTTAAAAAATAAATAAATAGAATTACCACCTAATGGTTGTTTGCCTCTGCTAAGCAATCGAGTTGCAGATTCAGTTTAAATCCATCATGTCTGTGAAAACACTGATGCTTCATACACATCTTGAACCAGGCAGCACATTAGATCTTTACAATCAGCACAGTTTCAAGATGGACACCAAAGATTAGTGTCACCAAGTATCTGACCAAATGCTTCCCTTTCTGTTCCTGTGTTATTGTGCTGAAATGTTTTTGCAGAACATAATGATGTCACAGTGAGGGTGACCTTTGACCTTTCGCATATGAAATGTCAACACTTCATTTTATCCTGTCAGACATTTGTGTGAAATTTTGTCATAATTATCGTATGAATTCTTGGGTTATGGCCCAAAACATGTTTTTTCCCCGAGGTCACAGTTACCTTTGACCTTCACTCACCAAACTCTAATCACTTCACTGCTGAGTCCAAGTAATGAATGAAGAGTGACAAATTAAATTCAATAAAAGGCAGCAGTGATGTTTGAAAGCGCACAGTTTTTTAGGGAATAAGTCATAAAATACAGACAAAGATCAATATTTCAGCAGCAGGATTTAAATTTGGAAAATATTAGAAAGAGCCAGTGATGAAACATAGTACATTTACTCAGGTATTGTGCTTAAGTACAATTTCAAGGTATTTGTACTTTACTAGTATTTCTTTTTTTTCTCTCAGTTTTTCAACTGTATTTTTATGTAATGCTACTTTATACTTGTACTCCACTACATCTCATTGACATTTATTCCTTTTACATTTGTCTGACAGCCTTATTTGCTTTTTAGATGACAGTTTTTCAGCCCCTTCCTGTTTCCTGTGAAAACCATGTATCTCCAGATGTGTGTTCCTTTAGGTGCTGAGAAATTCTCCTACTTCTGAAGCTAAATCAGCTCTTTAAAAATCATTGACACCATGACTTTTTGAAGAAATGTGGCTCCAACAGGACAGCCACGCTATAAACATATTTTGAACTTAAAGAATATGATGCATTTCTGTAAACTACCCAACTGTACACAAAGGAGTTCAAATGAGCACAACCTTAAACATCTGCAGCAGTAACCTGACACATACACATTAATGCGGCAGTAATATTCAAAAGACATTAGATATTATAGTAACACCTTGACAGGGAACATTTTACTGCAAAATGACTCCTTTAACTTTCACATTATAACTACATTTTGCCGATAACAATAACGTTACTTAGGTAACGTTTGTAAGGTTTATCAAGTAAGTGTGGTATTTTTTTACCGCGTGGCATTCGTACAAACTGACTCAAAGTTCTCCTTGTCCAAAAGACAAAACCCATGAAAAAGTACTCACCCATATTCATAGGTTTTTAACTTCCTGTTAAAACTTAGAGGGTTTCCAAGCCACTTGTACACCCGTCTGACTCGCAGTCTGGTAAAATATTTCATCCTGTTTCCTCCCCGTCTGCTGCACAAGCTCAGATATAATACCGATAATCGATAACCAATAAAGGAAAAATAAACTTTTGTTTTTCCGTCTGCTTTAAATTCAAATCCTCATCGAAAAAGGAAGGCTTTACAGAAACAGTCTTCACACAACACTCACCAGCGCAGACATTTCGCGCGAAAATTACGTAGTTTCCGTTTTCTTCTTCTTCAGTTGTAATGGCGGCCTGTAAAGCAACGTGAAAGTGCATGCTGCCTCCTCCCCCCAGGAAGTATAACCCCATGAGTTTGTCAAGATAAAATAAGTGCAGATAATCAGAATCACATCAGAAATGTCTTTTTGCCGAGTAAGTTCGCATCTACAAGCAATTTAAAGTGGTGATGATTTGGTGAATGACATTTAAACACAGTAAGTGCAAAAATATAAAGACATAATATAAGATAGAATTAAGATTATTATTTATATAT